TTTATCTCTCTCGGTTCTCACTCTCCTCTTCTCTCTCTCTTCTCTTCTCTTCTCTTCTCTCTCTTCTCTCTCTCTTCTCTCTCTCTCCTCCTCTCCTCTCTCTCCTCTCTCTCCCCTCTCTCTTCTCATTTTTATACTCTCCTCTCTCTCTCTCCTGTTCTTCGATTTCGGGTCTCGATATATACATATATGTATACACATATTGTATCTTTTATCTTATGCATACACATACACATACACGTGGGAGTTTTAGAGAGAGAGAAGAAGAGAGAGAAGAGAGAGAGAGAGTGAGTTTGTGTCTAATTTTTCACTTCAATCTTTTACTCTATCTTCTTCCCTCCCCTTCCCCCTCCATCTCTCATTTGTACTTTCTAAAATAACTCCTAAAATAACTGCCTTTCTTCGCCCTTTCATCACCTCATATTTCCCTTCCTCCTTCCCCTCCCTTCTCCTCCCCTCTCCTCTCCCTTTTCCCCTCCCCCTCCCTTTCCCCCCCCTCCCCTCCCTTCCTTTATCCCCTCCTTTCCCCTCCCTCTGTCTTCCCCTCCCTCCCACCTCTCCTCTCCTCCCCTCCCAAGGTTTTCATCCCCATCACATGATAAGGTAAAGGAAAGGAGGGAGGAAAAAGGGAGCAAAGAAGAACGAGAAATGCATGTTGACAGCGGGAAATGCCGTGGAAGATTAACACGAGGCGTTCGCAGAAGGGAGATACTTGTCTGCGGATACCGTCTGCGGATTCATACGAACGCAGGTGACGTTCGCTCTCGCATCTGCCAACTCTAGTTGTTGCTTCGCTTCTCGCTGTCTGTCTTGGTCTGTCTGCCGCTTTATCTCTTTCTTTCTTTCTCTGCCTGTTCTGTCTGTCTGCCCCTCCTCTCTCTCTCTCTCTCTCTCTCTCTCTCTCTCTCTCTCTCTCTCTCTCTCGTCTCTCTCTCTCTCTCTCTCTCTCTCTCTCTCTCTCGAACAAAACTTGTACCAGAATGCGTTTTTTATCTTTCTTGCATTCCGTTGCGCATTCTTTCTTTTTGTTTGTTTGTTGTTTTTTATGTTGCGCCTTTTTTTGAGATACGTGTCTTAATTTCCCCTACCATTTATCTATCTTCTTCTTCGTCCTAATTTCCCCTATCTATTTATTCTATCTATCTATCTGTCTACTATCTATTATACATACACACATACAACACACACACACCACACACACACACACACACACACACACACACACACACACACACACCACACACACAACACATAATATATATATATATATATTATATATATATATATATATATATATTAATATAAACACATACCACAAAATATATATAAGAGCAAGAAGAGATAAGAGAGGGAGGAGAAGAGATAGAAAGAGAGAGAATAAGAGAGAGAGGAGGAGAGAGAGAGAGAAAAGGGAGAGAGATAAAGAGAGAGAGCGAGAGGGAGAGCGAGAGAGGAGAGAGAGAAACGAGAGGAGGAGAGGAGAGAGAGAGAGAGAAGAGAGAGAGAGAGAGGATAGAGAGGAGGAGAGAGAGAGAGAGATAGAGGGGAGAGGGAGAGGAGAGGGGAGAGAGAGAGAGATGAGAGAGAGAGAGTAGAGAAAGAGAGGAGAGCAGAGAGAGAGAGAGAGAGAGAGATTAAGGTGAAAGGGGAGAGCAGTTGAGAGAGAGAGACGAGAGAGGAGAGAGAGAGCAGAGAGAGAGATGAGATGAGAGAGAGAGGGGAGAGAGAGAGAGAGAGGAGAGAGAAGAGGAGAGAGTAGAGCAGAGAGAGAGAGGAGGAAAGAGAGGAGTACGAAACATCTTAAAAGAGGGGAAGATTGGTATACACAAAAAGAAGGACGTGAGGATAGGACGTAATAAGGAAAGACAACAAAAGAAGTAAGAAAAAAAAAGAGAGGAGAAGAAGCAGAAGAAAGAAAGATTATAAAAGTAGAAGAAAGAAAGAGGATAAAAGCAGAAGAAAGATAAAGGAGAAGAAGCAGAAGAAAGAAAAAGGAGAAGAAGCAGGAGAAAGAAATGAGGAGAAGAAGCAGGAGAAAGAAAGAGGAGAAGAAGCAGGAAGAAAAAGAAAGAAGAAGAATAGCAGAATGAAAGAGAGAAGAAGCAGAAAGAAAGAAAGAGGAGAAGAAGCAGCAGAAGAGACTAAATAGTTATAAAAAGTAGAAGAAAATAAAGGAGAAGAAAAAGCAGAGAGAGAGAAAGTATTACAAAAGTAGCAAAAGAAAGAGGAGAAGAAGCAAAAGAAAGAAAGAGTATAAAAGTAGGAGAAATTTAAGAGGAGAAAAGAAGCAGAAAGAAGAGGAGAAGAAGCAAGAGAGAGAATTAATCCCCTTTTAACACGAGAATCACCATACGTCACATAATGCCTACTAGACCACCGGTGTCGCGAACTGACACTAAGTATATTTTCCTTGACAAATTTTGGCAACGTGATCGAAAAAAAAGAAAATTGGTGTCATCGGAATAGAAAGCAATGAGAAAAGGGGGAGAGAGGAAGAGGGGAGGGAGTAAGGGGGGGGAGAAGGAGAGGGGGAAGGGAGGCGGAGAGAGGGAGAGAGAGGATGAGAGGGGAGAGAGGATGAGACGATGAGAGAGAGAGGAGATGGAGAGTAGAGACGAGNTCTCCTCCCCCTCCTGCCCCCCCTCCTCCCCCCTCTAGGCATACCCCTCAGGTGCAACGCTTCAAGGGGAAAGACAAAAAGGCTGATGCCCACCTGCGCAAGCTCGTAAAATCCGGGCCGCCGTCGGGAGAGCGTCGGTGCCCGCGTCGTGGGTATTCTCAGCGCCTCCACCTGCGCCCTGCCTCGACGATGACGGATGGCTGACTGCGAGAGGAGCTGGCGATGGGGGCTGTGGCGGTTCTTTTGGTTTATTTCTTTATTCAATTCCTTGTTTTGCGTATTTGTTTGTTTAGCTAAATAATGATTGACTAACGACGGATGGGCGACTGCGAGAGGAGCTGGCGACGGGGCTGTGGCGGTTCTTTTCGGCGTTTGTTTTGTTTTTTCTTTATTTAATTCCTTGTTTTGCTTATTTGTTTGTTTAGCTAAATAATGATTGACTAACGACGGATGGCCGACTGCGACTGCGAGAGGAGCTGGCGACGGGGCTGTGGCGGTTCTTTTGGTTTATTTCTTTATTTAATTCCTTGTTTTGCGTATTTGTTTGTTTATCTAAATACTGACTAACTGATGGCGGATGGCCGACTGCGAGAGGAGCTGACGACGTGGCGGTTGCGTTTCTTTTGGTTTATCTATTTACTTATTTACTTATTATTTAGCGTTTGTCTATTTGTTTATCCATCGATTGACTACCTGATGGCGGATGGGCGACTGCGAGAGGAGCTGACGACGTGGCGGTTGTTTTTTTTTAGCGTTTGTTTTCGCGTCTTTCCTGCGTATTTACAGCGAGAGGGAGAAGGTGACGCCGCGGCTCTTCGGTTTCTTGGGTTTCTTTTTAAGCGTTTGTCTTGGTTTCTTTGTTTAATCCCTTGTTCTCTTGCGGATTTATTTATCGATTTAACTATATATTTACTGACTGATTGATGTCCGACTGCGAGAGAGAGAGAAACTGTAGAGTGTCTCTTGGGTTCTTGTTCGCGTTTGTCTTGGTTTATTTCTTTATTCAATTCCTTGTTCTATTCCGATTTACTTGTTCATCCATCGATTGACTATAACTGATAACGGGTTCTTTTATATTTTTTGGTTTTGTTTTTTATTTGCTTATCAATCCATCTCCTTCCTTATTTATTTAATTGCCTATTTACTTTTTTATCTACCTGTTTACTTATTTACTGATTTAACGACGTCTTGGGTTCTTCTTAGCGTTTGTTCTTTGTTTCTCCGTTTGTCTAATCATTTATCATTTATCATCATTCACCTATTCATCCATTTATTGGCTTATTGGTGAGGCTGGTGCCGGGGCTATTTTTTCTTTGTTTTTTCACGTTTACCCAATTTATTTATTTAGCTATCTATCGGTCTATTATTTACTGACTGCGATAGAGGGAGGCGAAGAGGGCTTTTTGGGTCTCGTGTATTTCATTTTCTATCGTTTGTTTTGGCTATTTCTTTGATTATTCGTTTATGTGTTTATTTATTAAATCACTTTCTCTCTCCCTTCCCCTCCCTCTCACTTTCCTATTCCTCGCCTTCCCCCTTTTTCATCTCCCTCTCCCCCTTTCCTCTCTTTCTCCGACTCCCTTTCCCCTTTCCAACCCTTCCCCTCTCCCTCTTATTTCTCCCCTCTCCCTCTTATTTCTCCCCTCTCCCTTCTCCCTCTCCACCCTTCCCCTTCCCCCCCTCCATTCTCCCTTCCCCTCCTCCCTCTCACTATCTCTCTAACCCTCTGCCTCTCC